TCCACACAAGACTAACCAGTGACGCTCAGATAAAAAAAGTACGAAAGCAATATCAGTTATCAAATGTGATTTGCAGTTCACCTCCTAGTTAAATATATTTTTTTTACTTATCCGTAGATACGTCTCCTAATGCACCAATTATTCATACCATCTTTTTATTTAATATCTACTTTTTGCACCTCAATATTTGTATTTCTATGCAGATAGTGGTTAACTTCGTAATCTCAAAGAATTTATCTTTCTTTCCATGCGTTTCTTATTCGTGACAAACTCAAATAAAAATCCCACATTACGTGTTTCTATTTATGTCCGCTGTCTTAAAAGCATACAGAAAAACGACGCATAAGGACTGTTTGTACCATAAATGTATCATCACAGGGTGATCGACCTAGTTATCCTTTTCTTATGCTCTGCTCTTATACTAACAGATGATTATATCACGCTAAACCGCTGCTAATAATTCGTCTTGCAATGGTTTAAACAAGAACACGTTTAATAAAAGAAAACTATTTAAACATTAAAGAATCTTTTATTTGAAATTATGTAACATCATAATGAAAAAGGGGGGTCCATATCATAAGCTCTTGCGGTCCTACCGATATCCGAAAATAAGTCATGTGATTACGTGAACAATGTACACCATAGTGGATAAAACTTTACTGGCGTATATATGTTAGTTATACATCCTTGCTGGAGGATAATCTGATGTCAAAGTATGCCTAATACTTGTACATATATTTATTTTATCTGTTATGAATGTTTCCGGGTTTTATTCTCGTTATTTTAACAGACATTTAAATATTTTTTTAGTTTCATTTATTTTTGTACTCACCATCGCAACAGGGCTGCGGTAAATTCCAACAACTTCCAACGCAGCAATGTCATTTTATTGATTCATTGACAGACACGTTATATGTAAATCGGCATTTAATAGCATCTTCCGCCTCTCTTTTAAACAAGTGTAAGATACTGTTAAATGCTTTCATAATGCTTATCAACAGCTTAAATGTTATATCTTACCTTTTCACATTATTTCATCAATAGAAATTTTTTGTAAACTTTGATTTAAAAAAGAACTATATGCAAGTATATATTTAAAATTTATTAGTTTGACCAATATTGTATTCAAATAAATTGAATTGGATTGGGCAACATGCCAAGCCGATGTAAGGCCTTTCAACACAATAAGGTACAATATATTACATTCAAACAAAACAACACATACACAATATAATGACAACACAAAAATATTTATTTCAAAACTACCTCATAGCTGCGATAAGGTTGCTTCAAAATAATACGATCAATATGCTAAGTAACGAATATTGAATAACAGGCATTACATTAATTTAAAATACCTCATGTCAGCTGTTTAACATTATTAATAGAATAAGTAATTTTTCCAAAATAACATGGTTGATATCATGTACTTCAATTCAGAAAACGCACAAATCCAGCTGAGCTGGCTAAATAAATTGTTTGTTTCACTGAAATTAAGTAAAAAAGATAAATTCAACAGTGAGTTTTCAAACATTTTCATGATCCGGAATGTCTTGAAAAAATAATTTTGTTTTTAAAAGATGAATGGTCCGTGTATAATCTGTAAAATCTGAATAAGAGGTTTGAAATTGAATTATTTTCCTGTGCTCGTCTCTTTGGTCATCATGGCTGCTAGTTCGCCTTGGTTTACAATGTACACTATACATGGTCAATATGAGGTCAATTACACGTAATATGAAGACTTTAAGTGTTTAAACACAGATTTCACAGTCACTGAACATTGAAGCAGTCCTCACGAAAACAATTTGGACTAAACATGGCAGTCTATTATAAAATATCTCTAGATTTATATGGCTTGTAAAGCATTTTTCAGGAAAATGTTATTAGCATGATCTGCAGGGCTTGTTGTTAATTGTGAAGACCATTGAAATATAATGTAGCGTTCAAAGCAGGTCCTATGGACTTCACAGTGATCTCCCATGTACTTATAGAGACATGGTGTGTTTATCATGTTGACTATACAAAAAAGTAGCCAAGGTTGAGAATATAGTGCACAACCCAAAATACAGATTGCCAATTTGAACAAACAATCAATGAAAAAAATAACACTATTTCATATTCAGACAACATTTTCAAAACAAGCACACGACATGGTAAGGGAGAATATGATTTATTTATTAGTTTTAATTGGATTTGAACTCTCTTTCAGTAAATGAAAATACTCTTATATCGAAACTTTGTGCCTATTGTTTTTATATAAGTTGTGTTTTTGCTGCGTTACATTTTTTCGAGTTCAGCCAATTGCAACTGATTTTTTCATTTTATTCTTATGTTATGCAGTTACGCCAGATTAGGGGGAGGCCTTGAACACTAACAAACATGTTTAACCCCGCCACATTCTTTATGTACCTGTCCCAGTAGTTCAATTAGTTCAGTGGTTGTCGTCTGTTCAAGTCTGTCATGTTTGTTTTTCGTAAATTATTTTGTTATAAATTAGGCCGTTCGTTTTCTCGTTTGAAATGTTTGACATTTTCATGTCGGGGCATTTTAGCTGATTTTACGTATTGGTTTTTCTCATTGTTGAAGGTTGTACGGTGAAGTATAATTGCTTATATCAAGAAGCTTGTGAAGCTGAAATTTAAAAAATGTTAATCTTTGCTGCATATTGATAAAAAAAAAATGGAAATATTCATGTACAGACAAAATCTAAAAAAATTTCAGGTCAACCATTTTTGGAGTGGTCCACATAGTCCTTAGCATGTTACAATTTCCCCAAAATATACCTATTTTTCACGTCTAAGTTTTCGAGTACACCAGCCTGCTCTTTCAATATAAAATAATGTCTTTTCGTGAATATAACAATTTAAAAGTTGTGTCTGTGTAGGTTTAAAAATTAAAGATGAATATTTTTACAAAGTAGTTTATCCGTTGAGAGATTTTTACAATTTTTTTGTGTACAATTTTAAGAAAAGGTCTTCCGGATCTCTGTACATGTATTTGCGGTCTTTTCGATCTATTCACATTTAATGTTTACTTCGGAATAAGGTCTGTTTGAATCTGCTTAGTAAACTTTAATTTCAAAAGTGTTAATCTTTGCTACATATCTATCGATTCCTTTGGATTTTCCCCCTGAACCTCTCTGATCTAGTTGCATACATGTACGGATTATTTTCATGTTCAAGAGAGGTATACAGCCAGTAGAAAAATAAACTGAAGTTGGTATATATGTACAACAAAAAATCAACACCTTCAAATTGACTTTTAAAATTTGAAAACATTGATTTCCCTTTTTAAGATAGAAACTTCCATGCTTGACATAATATAGCTAGAATTTATCCGCATAGTAACATTTTAAACCAATTTTACACAAAGCTCTTATACAATGTTATAGCTTGCTGTATCCGTTGTTTGCTATTTTAGTAAGGATATGATAATGTTTGTATTTCAATTCATTTTTATTGTTACTTTTTCCCAGAACGTTTTCTTGTGAATTTATAATTAATAGCGTCCTTGCTTAAATGGAACTAACATTTTTATGGCTATTTTTGTATGTTGACGACAACAGTTTGAAAATTATTCACATACTAATGGGACATTTATAAAGAAACTAACGTTCCAACTCCCTCAGGCAAAGTTGACATTTGATGGATTTGGCTATTACTTTTAGGTCCATTTCGTCGTATAGTTTTTAATTAGATTAAAATTTATGTTATCCTTGAATTTTCAGCTCCAATCATAGTGAAGAGTTCACAGAGCTGAAAAATTGGTGAGATATAATAATATTGGTGTGACATTATACTATTGATAATATATATTATATTATAGTTTATATCATTACAATATTTTAATGTATGCATATTGGATAATGCATTATGCCATTAAAAAATTCTTGATTCTCATCAAACACAGGTTGACAAATATATGTTTTATTTTGTTTGGCAAGAATTCGTGAAAGTTATTACTTGAAATAACCAGAAACCAAAAATCTTTGTTTTTCTCTAAAAAACTTAGATGGGACAGGAATAATTGTCAATTTTTTATTACCGGTATTATTACATTATTAAAACTAATCCAGTGTATGATTCCAACACAATACAACCTTGTGATTTTCAAAACATTTTAAATTGTCTGAAACCACAAAGCTGATGTAAAAAAAAAACAAAAAATGCCCATTGCTGAAGCCCGTACAATCCCCTATAGTTGTTTACATTCTCCTCCTCCTCATCCAATGTGAAAAATCTTTTCTTCTTCATTTTGGAAAGAAAGTTTCGATATAAGGTCCTCCGTTTTAGTTCTAGTGTATTCAAATTTACAAACATATTCGTTATATGTAAAATATCTCTTATGTTAAGTGTTATAAACAGTAAAAATAAACATACAATAGCATAGAACTAGAGACCAGGTTATCTATACAAAAAACCCCACATTAAATGATGAAAGCCCAACATATCTCTGTTATCTAATAACCTTTATGTGACTACCATGGTCTGAAAAGATATTCTGCAATGTCAGTTTGGGTATTGTCATACATTCCCTTAATTGTTATAGTTGTTTGCTTCGGAAAAAGCGAAAGTTTCTTTGAAAGGCGCAAGTCTGATATGAATTCCTTTCCCTTCTTTTCATGTACATATGGACATTTTGGAGATAGATTTGCATGGATTGCCCAAATGTTTTCATTTTGTGGAATGTGAAAAAGTCTCACACAGCATTTGAAGCACTGAATAATATTCAACGCAACACAATAAAATCCAGCTTCTGCCAATCTATTTACATCAAATGCACTTATATTATATCTGTTAAATGTTTCCAATCTAGATTCTGAAGTACAATATATTTGTTCAAGTTGAGAAGCAAAAAATAGTTTTTGATCAACTTTATTGAATTGTAAAGTTGCATTTTGTTTTTCATCCTCTGAAAAAGTTTCTTTGATAAATTGACACTCTGGATATTGGGAAGCATGATATGTATGAAGATTTGTATGATATTTTATATTGGTGAGGAAACAGCCACAGGAATAACAGTGTCCATTTGATCCGACTCCTGGGTAGAAAAAACCAGCCCTTGCAATGTTTTGAACCTGATCTAAATCATTTTTAATCCATGCATAAGGAATTGAATGCGTTCTTTCTTTCTTCAATACTGTTTTCTTTCAAAACGAGGCTGCGCAGTATCAGTAACAGCTTTTCTTGTTACTCCGTACCACACATTTGGGTAAATATTTATCAGAAAGTTTTTCTCGCAGGACCATACTTTCCAGCAACAGAACATGCTAATTTCCAACGATTAAAATCATTGCAATAACCGATTAAAGATGAGCAAATGTTGGAAATATCAGACATAGGTTCTTTAAATTCATGCGAGTTATTGTCTAGCACAATCGAAACTTTAGTGTTAGGGTTTATCAGAACGTCACTTTGTCCAAAAATGTCTAATGTTTGGTGATCTTGATGTTTTTGTCAATATTTAAAAAAAACGTCTAAGTCAATTTGTAAACAGAGATTTTGTGTTGAAATTATAAGACCAAATATTTGTGATTCTAAATGTTTCATACTTAACCCATGCAAACCTAAGGTCTCAACAATACCATTTTAAGCCAGAATGTTACAAAATGGCCTTATCTTTAATCTGATTTCTGATACAAGATCCTTGATGGAAACTTGAATTGTTATAAATGATAGTAGTTTTCAACAGTTGAAATACATCATTCTTATTGATCCAGAAGTTATAAAAGTTATAACGTGATCAAAAACCTTCCTGGCATTCCCGTATATATGAATGGCAAACAGCAGAACATATTAAATAGCATATTTTTCACTCTCATTTTGACATAACTCGTCCGACAATATGATAAGTATTTTATCAGGAAAGGAATCTAATGTTTCAAGGGTGCCAAATATTGTCTTTTCTGAAAAATGATTAAATGAAAAATATTCTAGCTTTTGGTTTTCGAAAACAGGAAAAAGAGTTTTATGAGTAAACACATCTGTATCATCATATAGAATAAAAACTTCATACATTTTGAAGTATCATTTGATGATCACTGAAATTTAGAATGGCATAATCTGATATAAGTTCTTCTTTTGCAAAATAATTTTCTTTTGATATGAATTTAAGTTACAGTTCTTGGCTGTCGATTCAGATGAAGCAAACACCTTCCCTTGACGTTCCCTTGTCACCATCTTACGGTGTTTATATATCTCAACTTGTACGATTCGCTCGTGTATGTAACAATGTTTTAGATTTTAACGAGAGAAATGTATGTATTACTGAAAAATTATTACACCAGGGTTTTCGATATCACAAACTAGTCAAAACATTTACTAAATTTTATCATCGGTATAAGGACATCATTCGTAAATATAGCTCAACATGCAGACTTCTTATACGTTCAGGTATTTCACATCCAATTTTTTATGGAAATATTCTTTATAAAGCACAAAAATGTCAGTATTCACCTCTGAAACTAACAAAACCTTTAAATAGACTTATTAAGAAGGGATATAGTTACGATACTGTTGTCAGGTCATTAAAGATTGCATATTTTGGCGTTGATATTGATTCACTTATAGGGTCTTTGCATCTGCACTAAACACATTTATTTAAAAACCAGTTGTTGGCATGACACGGGTTATGTTCTTCTCATATATGTTATGATGGTATGATACTAAATCCCTAACGGGAAGGATTGTGCCTGATATTCATATGATGAAGACATAATCTTTCAATCAGTTTAATTGAAGTCTGGAGCTGGCATGTCAGTTAACTGCTAGTAGTCTGTTGTTATTTATGTATTATTGTCATTTTGTTTATTTTCTTTGGTTACATCTTCTGACATCAGACTCGGACTTCTCTTGAACTGAATTTTAATGTGCGTATTGTTATGCGTTTACTTTTCTACATTGGCTAGAGGTATAGGGGGAGGGTTGAGATCTCATAAACATGTTTAACCCCGCCGCATTTTTGCGCCTGTCCCAAGTCAGGAGCCTCTAGCCTTTGTTAGTCTTGTATTATTTTTAATTTTAGTTTCTTGTGTACAATTTGGAGTTTAGTATGGCGTTCATTATCACTGAACTAGTATATATATTTGTTTAGGGGCCAGCTGAAGGACGCCTCCGGGTGCGGGAATTTCTCGCTGCATTGAAGACCTGTTGGTGGCCTTCTGCTGTTGTCTGTTCTGTGGTCGGGTTGTTGTCTCTTTGACACATTCCCCATTTCCATTCTCAATTTTATACCTTATGTATTTGTGTTAAATAGAGTCTCCGCACATTGCAACCATTCTTTGTGGCTGAAAAGAAAATGAAACTGTTTTGTTTAAACACAAACAATATTTCACGCACTTATATATATCTATTTTACACAAATAGTCAATTTCATTTAAACTTTAAAAGGGCATACAACTACGTATAACATATGCTGCATACAAAACCCTCCTCTGTTTATGAAAAGTTAAACTGTCATTTCAAAGAGTCAAAATATCGTATGTCCAAATTATTTCCTTACAAACATAGTTATATTGCTTTGTCTTCCAAATACTCCCCGAAACCTCTTCCCAAATTATTAACATCTATCAAAACTTGGCTTCAGAGTTGCTGTGAAAGTATCTACTCAAGGGCGGTGTGAAACTAATCTGTTAAGTACATAAATTCAAAACTTATTTCTCGTGCAGTAATATAAAAATACTTGACTTCTCTACTCTTAACACTAGTATTCCTTATTCGAAATTCAAAGACAGATTTGAATAATTCATCCAACTTTGTTTCATATAAAATAATTGCCAACGTAGCTTCAAATATCTTGTTTAGGAAGGGAAAAATCATACTTTGTAAAAAAAAACCTTGGTTCAAACAAATTTTTTAGTAACTGACATCCTCAAGATGCTTGATGTTTTTATTGACAAATTAAGAGTACATGTTTTTCAACAAACAATCGGCATCCATATGGGAACCAACTGTGCTCCTGCCGACTTGTTACTTTATTATTCATATGAGGCAGACTTCATACGGGAGCGTCAAAGGCAGAGTGAAAATAAGCTAGCATTATCCTTTAACTTCACGGTCCGTTATATAAATGATGTCCCCTCTCACTAAATATTTCATAGTTTGGTGACTGTTGATCGCTCATTTCCCATCGAACAGGAAATAAAGGAGACCACAGATGCACAGTTTAGTCTGTATCATATCTTGATTTACATCTAGAAATTGACAATGAGATTCGGTTGAGAACTACACTTTAGGAAAAAAAGATGATTTCAGCTTTTTTTTTGTGAACTTTCCATTTCTATGAAGCAACATTATAGTGTCGCCTGCATATAAAGTTCTTATGAGTATATATCTCCAGTTGACACGGTATTCCAGAGCTGACGTTTGTAGCATGATTTGATTTATAGATTGTTGCTGTTTACTGAGAAGCTACTGAGCCAATGGTTACTAGTGGTAAAATCGAAATCATCCCTTTGAAAGTTTTACATACGCCATCATAATTTGGTTGACCATCATGGAATATCTTTGTCACAACTGTCGTAGTCCCAATCCCTTCCTCTATTTCTCAATTGTGACATCAACGAGTGAATGTACATGGCAGAAGAAACACAACGGGTGGCATATGTAGATAGGATCTGCTTAACCTTACGATGCACCTTAAATCACCCCCCCCCCCCCCCCCGAGTTTTGGAGGGGTACGTGTTGCTAAGTCTTTAAAATTAATTTTCTATGTAGTATTTTGTAAACCGTTGTTTGCCTTCCTGCCGTTTCTCGTTTTTGTCTCGCCTTCGATGAAAATTGCAGAACGCGAGACATAGGAATTACAATCCGGCGGCTGCGGCGTAAACTTTGTATTAAACTTTATATTTCAGAGATAGTAGACCCGGAGGCTTCATCACTTGTATCTAGATGCCTTATGTTACAAAATTTCCGTCTGTCATATGTCCGTTGTCCTTGACTTGACTTGATTTTTAAGGTTCAGCGACTGTATTCCTTGCAATGTCTACATATCCGATAAACAGGGTTCACCTGACCTCACCTCAACATCATTTCAGGGATCAGTGAACAAGGTTAAAGTTACACGATTAGGCCAGTTTCTCAGATACTGTGAGCAGTAGGTCAACTATATTTGGTGTATGGAATGATTTTAAGGTGAACATGTCAGTCTGGCAGGTTTCATCTGACCCTGACCTCCTTTTCACGATTCATTGGTTAATGTTATGTGTATATATTTTGGGCTGTTTTTCTAATACTATAAGTAATAGGTCAACTATATTTTGTAGACTGAAATGATTGTAAGGTGTACATGGTTATCTGACAGGATTCATCTGACCTTGACCTTATTTTCATGGTTCATTGGTCAATGTTAAGTTTTCCTTGTTAAGTCTTTTTTTCAGATACAGTCATACTATAAGCAATTAGGTCAACTATCTTTGATATATGGGATGCTTGTAAGGTGTACATATCTGTCTGGCAGGGTTCATCTAACCTTGACCTCATTTTCATGGATCATTGGTCAATATCAAGTTTTCATGGTTTGGTCATTTCTTATGTACTATAAGCGAAAGGTCAACTACATTTGGTGTGTGTAATGATTGTAAGATGAACATTTCTGTCTGGCTTGGTTTATCTTACCTTGACCTCATTTTTATTGATAATTAATAATGTTAATTTAATTTTATACTTGTAGTAAAGTTTATCCTTAGGACTATCAACATAAAAGAATCATGAAAAGTAACGCAGACGAGAAATTTCAGCATTTTTTTTTTTGCCACGGTTTTGTAAGTTTCTTTTAGGTTTTGATTTTTGTTTGTCCCTTATTGTATCTTCGGCCTCTCTATAGAAGTTCGGCACTGCAATGACGAGTGTACTTACCAATTTAAGCTCGTTTACATATTATCTCAACAACAATTCATGGGTAGAAACTGTAAACACCAAAAATGATCAACATAATATGTTCATTAAAATGCCAAAATGACTGACTCCCCCTATTTGAATTAGCAATAGGAGTTATAGTCCTTAAATGTCAATATTTGGCAAATTTAAGCCTTTATGATTAAAACATTAATAGATCAACAAAAATTGTAAACAACCAAAATGACCATCAAGGTAAAAATTTTCAGATGAATCACATGATTCTTACCGTCAGTTGACTATTTAATGAAGTTTTCGTAGCATTAAAGGGACATTAGCTGTCAAATTCTCATATTTGATTTATAACACACTTAAGGAATAAGTAACCAATAACATAAACGGTACCAAATTTTCTACACCAGATATACATTTCGACAATAAATGTCTCTTCAGTGATGCTCGAGGCCAAAATATTTGAAAATCCAAAGCTTATTAAAAAGACGAAGAGCTATAAACCAAAAGGGACAAAAACGTAAAGCCAAAGCCGGGCAAGGAATCAGAGCTTTGCATGAGGGAGATACATTCCTTAATTTTAAATAATTTTCAAAATTTTGTAACAGCAAATTTTAATACTTGACAACCCTATATCAGGAATGTATATCATCATTTGACTTGTATAAGAATATTATTTGTAAGCCGCATCAGTCAAAGAAATAGTTATTCCTGATGTCTCCCTTGTTTTATTTTTAATGTTGGCATTCATGTCTTTTTAATGAATGAACCACATGCTGAACACATGCGTATCCCATCTCCATTACATGTAGAATTAAAGGTTGCACGAATAAGGATTCAACTGAGATTGAATTATTCACTTTCAAGCCAATGATACATCACGATGTTTTCTAGCTTATTTTGACAAATTGAACCAAACTGGCTGTTAATAGTTATACATAGTATTTCTATATTTAGTTTGAAACAAAAACATCATGTTATAAATTGTTGTCTGTTTGGTAGCTTATGTCCATTTAAAAGGAAAGAAAACACACTGAATAATAAATATATGTTATTGTTATTACCTGTAACACACAAAGGGTTCGCTACACAATTGAATTATATGAAATGTTACAACGAATAAAATCATGTCAGCGTATGCCCTTTTTTGGAAATTGATGTATTGGCGATTCATTCATTTGATAACACTAATTATTTGAAATATTTTCGGTTTACTACATCACGCTGTACTCACCATCTCCTCAAATAATGCAGTAATTGAATTTCAACAACCCTTGTGAGCCAACACAGCAATGTGTAACATTATTAAAAATATACTGGTTCGTATCTGTTAATTATTAACAAACTGGATCATTAGTATCGGGTAGTTTAAATTGAAAATCATTGACTGCATGAATGGAGATTTAAAGGGGCAATAGCTGTCAAATTCGTGTTAACCGATTTGACTCAAATTCTCATATTTAATTAACACCGTACTAAAACGTATATCCAGTTTATCAAAAGTCCAAAACAAGCAATTACCAATGCCTGGACTCGTTATAATGTTTCAGCATTTCGTACATAATTCAGACTAGACGCCATCGAATTAAACCAACAAAGTAATGATTCTTTCTGTTGGCTCCTTTGTTTCACTTTTCAATGTTGACATTATTTTCTTTCTAATAACTGAGCATGCTTAGCCCATGCGTAACTCATCTCCAGCTTATGGTAAGATTACAGGTCGCATGAATACGAATTCAAATAAGGTTGAATAACTGATTCGTATGCCAATAATACATCAGCGATATCTTTTTTTTTTTTAACTTATTTTGACCTAATAGAACCAACCGACTGCTAAAAGCGAATTATTTGTTTTCAATTTGCCGCTTTTATAAATGTTTGAAAAAAAAATATAACTTATTGTTTTTGTCTATTATTTTTTATATGCACCATCCAAGGAGAGACGCGTGTCTATACAATATGTGAGCAAGCTTAACAGAAAATTTCCTTTGAAGATGAGCTATCAAAATAAATGATTAAAATACAACAAAAAGACTTATGGTAAGACAGGTTTATTTGTACTAAAGTTTAAAAAAAAAGCATAGAGTAACAGACGACTATTCGTGAAAATATATCGAATTAAGTTCAATGATAGGCAGACACGTTTCCTTTTCATCTTGGTCCATTCTAAAATGACCAGAATACGACTAAAACATTGTGATCAAGTGATTCCCACCCACAGCAGGACTCTTCAAGGTTATAGCAATCTTTAATTGTCCCCTCCCACCCCAGAAAAAAACCAAACATTCATTTTGTAAGGTAACCAATCAGAATAACTCCTGAACAAAAATGTCATTTTATTCTTTGTTAGATTATTTTGTGTGTTTTTTTGAATTTTTTAGTCAGTTGTGTTGTATGTCTGTGGTGTATGTTCACACAGTTTTGACTTCTGGATCCCAATTATTGTCACATCAACCTATTACTTTGTATGTCTGTTTGGGTTGCTTAACCAATTTTGTCAATATAACGGAATTATAAACAACTGTCATACAAGTCGGAGGTTTAACTAGCTATAACACACCATTTTTTTCGGAAAATGTCTGTACCAAGTCAGGGATATGGCAGTTGTTTTTCACTTGTTCCGTTGATTGATAGCGTTTGATTTTGTCAGTTTTTATAGACTTCCCCCTTTTGAATTTGCCTTGGAGTTCAGTATTTTTTACTAGTATACTTTTTTACTGAACACAACCTTCAAACTTCAAATATTAAACGATTTACTAAAGGGGAATCATCATTCGGAAATTTAAAAATATCCCAATACTTAAGGTAACTAAGGAGCATAATTCTTTAACTGTCGCAGTGTCAGAACCTCTAAGCAAAAATGATGTCGATCTGTATTTTATAATCTATGAAATTGTGTTCCACTTGAAATGATTTGGTTAAGCCGGTACGTTGATTATCATCCCGGAACGAAAAATGTGAAGGACGGGCGGTAAAACAATCGGAAGAACAGACGGACTTATACATCACTATATATACCCCCTTTCTAGACGAATGTGTAAATACTTAGATTTTGTTTCCTTAAATGTTATTGAGACAGAAGTTTCATAAACTCATAGTGTTTCCCTTACTTATTAAGGAATGATTGCTGCATTGCAAGTGGTCGAAAATCTGCACTTCAAAAGATAGACAGATTGTAATTAGATCCTGTTTGAATGTGTGAAGAGGTACACAGACCCCCTAATTATCATATCAAGAAAATGGAATTTTCGGTGAATGATTTAAACAATTCGACCTAAAAGGTCTTCGTTAAAAATCTTTCACATATTTTCAATGCAAAGCAGTGGTGAATATCGATACAATGTACAAACAGTTTTAGCTGAATTGAGACGCAGTTGAACTCTGCTCATTATATGATTAATGCTGTCTGGACATCAATATTTCGGTTTCCAGATAATATCATGGGGCAATAAACAATATATTTATCAAACTTAGATTGATAATGCCCATTGGAGTAAAAAATGTGCATAGATTTGGGTATTTTTCGTGATTAAAAAAAAGTCCACCAGAAAAATAACCTAAACCCAACACAAAAAATTATTTCTACTACAAATCTATAAAGATCACAACTAAGATTATGCACCCATGGTAGTTATGCAATTTCAAGGTTCATTATTGAATCTTATAACAAATATGATGGATGCAAAAAGATTGTCATTATAATAATTATATAAATCAAGATTTTATGAAGATTGACAGGAATAGAATAGCTTATCCTTGACTGTTCATTGCTGCAAATTCATGTACCATTCAATCAAGGGAAATAACAAGATCATTTAGATTTTTGATTTCAGAACTTATTTTCAGGAAAGAACTATCAGAGGTTTGTTATAAAAGTCACTTAGATTAATAAAGTAAAGTGACATCTGTTGACTCACCTGCTACAATGTTTCTGAGGGAGAGATATATTAATGATAATCTGGCAATGAACACAACCTGAACTATACTAACTTTGGAAAGTAGACAAGCAGTAAAATTCATATCTTGTAATCAGATGACATATGATTTTGCATTGTCTTCAGTTGTTGACCCCTATGTCACAGTTCAATGACTTTCAATGATCTTGCAGTTTTTAGTTGTTGACCCTTATGTCACAGTTTAATGACTTTGAATGATCTTTCATTGTCTTTAGTTGTTGACCTCATTGTTGCAGATCAATGACGTTGAATGATCTCTCATTGTCTTTATTTGTTGACCTCACTGTCACAGATCAATGACTTTGAATGATCTTGCATTGTCTTAAGTTGTTGACCTCTTCACAGATCAATGACTTTGAATGATCTCTCATTGTCTAGTTGTTGACCTCACTGTCACAAATCAATGACTTTGAATGATATTGCATTGTCTTTAGTTGTTGACCTCACTGTCACAGTTCAATGACTTTGAATAAATTGAGTGGACAACTGAACTGGCTAACTTGCTTACATGATTATAACTGAGTTTGTTTTGAAAATCTTTGAGATCAATGTCATACTATAGGTTTGTCAAAGATTAACATTGATTAGTGATTTATGAAAATGAAGTAAAGGTCAGGTGCACCCTGTCAGACCAACATGTCAACTGAAAAAATACTTTACATCATATACAGTCATCCTATTACATATATAGATGGAGAAATCGAAACTTGTGTCAACAAACTGTTAACAATTATCAAAGAACAATGAAAATTATGTCAAGGTCAGATGATTCCTGTCAGAACCACTTTTATACTAAACTATCTTTCTATAGACCAAATGAAGTTGATCTATTACTTATTTTGACTGAGAGACTTGCATAATCATGAAAATTTAATAATAATCAATTAACCATGACAGTATGGTGAAGGTCAGAGGAAGCATGTTAGACATGAATGTCACTGTTCCAGGGAAATCTTTGCATAAACATAATACACTGTAAATACAAAAATGTATGCGATGTTTTTATTATTGCAATAATTACGACATGATAGGTATGGTAAAAATATAAACTTTCATTTTTTTAAAAAGTTTTATAGCACTATTTGTTTGCAGTTTTTATTAAAATCACATTAATTTACTACGCATTTGTATCTGTTTAAAAATCGCAATAATAAATGCACGCAAAAATTTCTGAATTTCCAGTAGTTGAGCCATTAAAGTATGTAAAAAAACCAATAATTAAACCATGAAAATGAAGCCAATGTTAAGTGAACATCATTGAACAAACATGTATGCCTTACAATCATTCTTTAGAATAAAAATAGTTAAGCTATTACTAGTTTCAACATAGAAACTGACCTAATTACTTACTTTTATTGTTGACTAATGAACTATGAGAAAGAGGAAATCAAGTGATGCACCCTTGCAGACAGGCATGCATTCTTACAATCATTTTGTGCACCAAATATACATGTAGCTAACATATCACGTATAGTAGTGTTGTCATTTTAGCGATATTTTTTAACATTGTCATAAAGTTGTAATTGACATATTTGACCAACAATGAGCATTTTAGACTTAGTACTAGGACAAAATAAATGGTTCCCATTTTAAAAACTCCCTTTCATAATTTCTGTAGTGATTTTCCTTCATAATATTTTTGCAATGACATTAATTTGATTTCATATTTTTGCCAGAGGTGAAGGATTTGCAATAATAAATGCATATGGTACATTCATTTCTGAAATTTTAGTAGATGGACACAAGCTATTATCATTAAATATATCAGACTTGCGGAATACAATTTAAATCTGTACCCCTCTCATTACTCCCTGTAATAAAGAAGGACAAACAGGGAACATAAATATAACTATTAACCTTGGTTGACACAAACCCTTTAGCTATGTTGGGTCCCTTCAACTTTTAAGTGTCAGTTCTACCTGTTGTTTCTTAATAAAGCTATTAAAAACTTCTGCATAATTTCTGAAGTTGATACACTTTACCAAGATAAATATATGGAATATACGGAGATGTGATATGATTGCCAATGAGACAGCTGTTAACCAGAGTCCAAATTACATACATGTAAGCAAGTATAGGTCACCGTACGGCCTTCAACAATGAGCAAAATCCGTACTGTAATGTCAGCTATAAAAGGCAAACATGACAAAATGAAAATAAAATCACAAACAATTGTAAGACAGCAACCAACCACAACAACTGAATTTCAGGCAGCTGGCATGGAACAGCCATGTTTTTTTGTTGTTTTCTAGTATACACATGTTTATGTAGATATACAACAGATGTTGTAACATATTTAGCCTTTTTTACATGTTACATGTTGACGACAACAATTTAAAAATTCTTCACCCGCAAATGTGACATTTAAGATATTATACTCAAGAGTTTCTAAACTGCTCTAATAGATCAATATGAAAGAAAACAAAAATAAAGGTCTATACCTTCATACTCGGCAATATGGCAAGAAAATTAAATTAATATTTTATAGGAGTGATGTGTTCCAAGTGCTTTTCTGGATTTACATTCATCAGGAACGCTCAAAATAAAAAAATGAAACAAGCTATATGACCAAAGGGGACCTGAAAAAAGTAGCCAAATTCATCTAAGGTAAACTTTTTGTTTCATCATAACTTCTGAATTATCAACAGAGAATTTAAGAAGAGTATATTATGAATCATGTTAAGAACTGAAGCAATGACAACATAAATTTAAAGTTTTTGACCTTTAAGCAAATGGACAGGAAAGTGGTCATGTAATTTAATGTTTTGAAGAAAATAGTAAAGCAGCATAGACCAGGCTAGAATTACTTTAGAGAGTCTAAGTATCTTAGCAGAAACATGTGGCATGTGAAACTTATGGCAGGTGTTAGAAGTGTTGTATTTCAGTCATCCGTTTGCAAATTTCAAATCATCAGGCTGAAAGGCATCATTTGTGGATTTTCTATCAACGGGGGAGTATTTTCTGACATTCCTTAAATGTTTTTGCTTATACTTTGTTTCCAGTAACCTATCAGTTGATTAGTACTAAACTCAATTGTAACTGGGAAATATAGTTTATTTCAAGTTAAAATACTGCATATTTTAGAAGAATCTTGATTTAAAAGATTATGTATTTCCAAGTGATTTTTTTTAATGAGAATAAGACATTCTTTATTTATATATAATAGCTATAGACCACCATTTTTCATATTTTCTATTTATTTTTTGTCACTGATTAAAATTTATGTTTTCCTTGATTTTGTTTCAGTTCCAATCATTGTGAAGAGTTCACAGAACTGAAAACTGGTGCAGATATAATAAGATTGGTGATTTTTGAGACATTTTATTTATTTATTTCATTTTACTGTGATGCCATGTTTAACAAAACGTTTTATGTATATGTATGACTTGTTATTATATGTTAATTTTGAATTACAGTTATATTATGTCTTATGTTTATTTATCTTTTATTTATAACAATAGTTTAATAGTTGCATATTGAAAAATTCATTAGGTCATAATAAACAAAAAAATCTTTGATTCTCATCCAACTCTTTTGAAAAATTTTGGCATGAAGACAAATTTTATTTTTTATTTTTTTGGACATGGATTAATGGAAATTTTTAATAGAGAAATAAAAAATTGTGACCAGAAACCAGAACTCAATAACAGCTAAGATGGGACAGGATGAAATGATGATATTTTTATTAAAATTTCTTTAGGCTAGTAATCAAAATTAATCTAATGTATATAATGATTCCAACACGATATATTTTGGTCATTTTCAAAACATTCAAAATTGTCTGAAACCACTAAGCTGATGTGAAGCAAAGTTGCCATGCCAGGGCCTTTAAAAGCGTAAAATGAGATATGAGTTTGTCTCATTGTGGAAGGCTGTATAGTGACCTATTGTTGTAAACATCCGCATCCTCATCCCATATGCATAATCTTTTCTCCTCAATTTGGCGAAGAAAGTTTATATAAAAGGTCCTCTGTTTTTGGTTGAAGTGTATTTAAAGTTACAAACACAAATGCATTATACATCTTAATTATATGTTATATAAGCTCTAAGATAAAGTGTTATAAACAGTAAAAATATACATAAAATAACGTAGATTTAAAGACCAGGTAATCCAAACAAATATGCAACATTTACCATGGTCGCCCAACATATATATCTGTGTTATCTAATGACCTGTTTTGTGACTACCATGGTCTGAAAAGATATTCTTTAGTGTCAGTTTGGGTATTGTCATCTTCATGGTCAGTTTGAGTACTGTCATGCATTCCCTTAATTGTTATAATTGTTTGTTTTGGAAAAATTGAAAATTCCTTAGAAAGGCGCAAATCTGATATGAATTCACTTCCCTTCTTTTCAAATACATACGGACATTTTGGAGATATATTTGCATGTATTGCCCAAATGTTTTCATTTTGTGGAATGTGAAAGAGTCTAACACAACATTTGAAGCACTGAATAATATTCAACGCAACACAATAAAATCCAGCTTCTGCTAATCTATTTACACCCAATGCACGTATATTATATTTGTTAAATGTTTCCAATCTAGATTCAAAAGTACAATATATTTGTTCAAGGTGAGAAGCAAAAAATAATTTTCGATCAACATTATTGAACTGCAAAATTGCATTCTGTATTTCATCCTCTGATAAAGTTTGTTTGATAAATTTACACTCTGGATATTGGGAAGCATGATATGTATGAAGATTTGTATGATATTTTATATTGGTGAGGAAACAGCCACAAGAGTAACACTGTCCATTTGATCCAACTCCTGGGTAGAAAAAACCAGCCTGTGCAATTTTTTCAACCTGATCTGAATCATTATCTTTCCACACTATAGGAAACGAACCTTTTCTTTCATCAATACTACTGTATCTTTCAAAACGTGGCTGTGTAATGTCAATAACAGCTTTTCTTGTAACTTCGTATTACACATTTGGGTAAATATTCATCAGAAAGTTTTCTTCAGCAGAACCATACTTTCCTGCAACAGAACATGCTAATTTCCAACGTTTAAAGTCACTGCTATAACCAATTAAAGATGAGCAAATGTTAGAAATATCAGACACAGCTTTCCTAAATTTATGCGAGTTATTATCTAGTATAATCAAAACTTTTGTTTTAGGGCTTCTCAGAACGTCACTTTGTCCCAAAATGTCTACTGTTTGGTGATCTTGATGTTTTTGTCGATATTTAAAAAAACCCTCCAAGTCGATTTGTAAACAGAGATCTTGTGTTGAAATTATTGGACCAAATATTTGTGATTCTAAATGTTTCATGCTTAATCCATGCAAACCTAAGGTCTCAACAAGACCATTTTTAGCCAGAATGTTACAAAATGGCCATATCTTTAATCTGATTTTTGAAACAAGATCCTTGATGGAAACTGTTGAATTGTTATAAGTAATAGTATTTTTAAGTTGAAATAAACAATTCTTTATACTTATTGATCCAGTAGTTATAAAAGTAATAACGTGATCATAAACTTTACTGGCATTCCCGTATATATGGATGGCATACAGCAGAACACATTCAATAGCATGTTTTTCAATTTCATTTTGACATAACTCGTCCGATAATACAATAAGTATTTTATCAGGAAAGGAATCTAATGTTTCAAGGCTGCCAGATTTTGTCTTTCCTGGAAAATGATTAAATGAACAATATTCCAGTTTTTGTTCTTCGAAAACAGGAAAAAGTGTTTCTTCAGTAAACAAATCTGTCTCGTCATATAGAACAAACACTTCATACATTTCTTTTTCTGAGGTAGCATTTGATGATCACTGAAATTTAGAATGTCATAATTTGATATAATTTCTTCTTTTGCAAAATATTTCCTTCTGATATGAATTTAAGTTACAGTGTTTGGCTCTCGATTCAGATGGAGAAACACCTCATGTATTTTTGTTAAATGGAGTCCACACATTGCAAGCATTTTTTTGTGGCTGAAAAGAAAATGAAATTGTTTTGTTTAGTGAGAAATAAGAATTAACGCACATATATGTATCTATTATACACAAGTAGGCAATTTTATCTAAACTTTAATAGGGCAACAACTACGTATTAAATATGCTGCATACAAAACACTTCTCTGTTTATGAAAAGCTAAACTGCCAATTTAAAGAATCAAACTATCTTATATCCGAATTATATCCTTACAAACATAGTTATATTGCTGTTTCTACCAAATGTTCACCGGAAGCTTTTTTCAAGTCATTAACATCTATCAAAACTTGGCTTAAGAATGAGTGTGAAAGTACTTACTCAAGGGAGATGTGAATCAGGTAAGGACACTAATCTATTCGAAAGATCTGTTGCTGTGACTTGACCATATGTGTTGCTCTTTACCTTTACCTATTGTTCAACCAGATTGTAAAATTGACAATACAATTGGAACATTTAAACTGACACAAGTTGGTATTGTTAGAGTTGAAACTTACAGCATGCTTTTTTCTTATGAAGCTTTTCTTCACCTAGGTTACTCTATTTTAAAATTGGTAGCGGAGAAAATATTATTGGTTTTCATTGTTTTAAACCTCAACATAGTTGATCATTCTAATTTGACCCAAAAGAATCTTAATCAGTAAAAGATTTTTTTAACCATTAAAATAAGAAGATGTGGTATGTAGCCAATGAGACAACTCTCCACCAGAAACAAAATGACATAGTAGTTAACAACAATAGGTCACCGTACGGCCTTCAACAATGAGCAAAACCCATACCGTATAGTAAGCTATAAAAGGCCCCGAAATGAGAAATGTAAAACAATTCAAACGAGAAAACTAACGGCCTGATTTATATACAAAAAAAAGAACGAAAAACAGATATGATATACATCAACAAACGACAACTAATGAATTACAGTCTCCTGTAACATGTATGGAAATTAAAATTGTTTTACATAATCAATGAACCTTTAATTTTTTAACCATTATACTTAGTATTGACAAGTGTTCAGTGAAACAAAAAATAGCTATTCAGGTGTTTTTAGTTTCAGTTTATCTTAGATTTAATTCAGATTGATATATTATGTATTTTTCCATATATTCCTTCATATTTTTCATTTTAGAGTATTATTTGCAGTGTTTGAAATCTATTGGAATCAATATGCATGAAATATCGGAATTCATTTCATTTGAATTCACTCCTTAGATCCCATTTAATTTTGCCTCTTAATATGTGACTTGTTTTTTTTTCTTTTAATGAATGGATTGTCATGAATGTATCAATTCATTCAAAATGTTTTGTGTGGCTTAATTATTTCACATGATCACGTACATGTAAAATTCGAAATGATTTTGGAGTATACCTTGCAGTGTTTTTCTTCGAAACCTGTTAGGATTTTTGTGCATAAAAATACTGTGTTCACTTAAAGGAATTCCCTTTATATAAGATGGGATTTAGCTAATCTAAAAGGTAAAACAAATTCAAAACTGGAATATATGCAAGTAGGAGAAATAAGTTCATCCAATATGTTTCTGTTGCTTTTTAAAAAATTCTGGATCTAAGATTTTTTAGTTGGAATATATATAATGGAAAATTAAATAAAATGTAAATACAGTGGATATAGTCAAATCTAGTGATAAAGTAAAAAATAAAAGTAAAATATTCCAAAAAAAAATCATAAAGTGAGGATAATTATTTTGAATGTGCTGTTGGAATTAATCATTACAAAATTCTGGATCTAATATTAAGACTCTGTACCTGTTTAATCGGGATATATATCATGGGAAATTAACCAGAATACAATGGACATGAAATCAAATACTCTGCAAGACAAAACATATAAATTCTTCTTCTGGCTTGCACACTCCTATTTCAATTGACAGTAAAATAAAAGTCTCTCTTTTCCTTCTAGATGTTGTGTTTTTTTGGCAATTGTATATATGGTCAATTACTAAAAGGAATACATTCATTTCAATGAAAAAGACTCTTAATTACAATGTTTATTTCCTTAACTTGTTTTAGGATTCTCTAATGAAAAACAAGGATAAATAAAGATTAAAACAAATCAGCAGTTTTTATCAAATAGTAGTACATAGAATAAGTTTGCATCGTGTGGCCATACTTTATTTATACCATATATACTAATTTGAACTGTATGCATGTTATGATATTTAACAAAGATAAAAATCGAAGCCTGAATGCCACATGGTTAAGTTTTGAAAGACCTATCTCAGTTACACTACAACAGTGACAATTGAACAGGTGAAGTGATGGGGTAGCATCAAGGTAGACTTTAAATGCACGAGCAACCACCTATTTATCAACTCTAACTATACCAACTGGTTAATTTAAATGTTCCAATTGTATTGTCAATTTTACAATTTGGTTGAACAATAGTACATACATTTTACTATCATTTCTCGTGCAATAGTACAATAGTATTTGACTTCTCTACCCTTAACACTAGTATTCCTCGTTTTTAAACTTAAAGAATTAATCCAAATTTATTTCATATAAAAGAATTGCCAACGGAGATTCAACTACTTTTTTTAGGAAGGGAGAATCATACTTTGTGAAAAGAACACAAAAAAACCGCAACACTTTGCCATAATGATTTGGTCAACCATCATGGAATATCTGTGTCACAAATGTCTTAGCCCCAATATCACAGAGTTTGTGTACTTGCCAGGAGTAACACGAAAGGTCCACATGCAGATAGGATCTGCTCAACTTTACGATGCACTTAAGATCATTCCCGGGTTTTGGTGGCGTTCGTGTTTTTCAGTGTTTAAAATTGGTTTTCTATGTAGTGTTTTGTACTACGTTGTTTGTCTGTCTGTCGTTTTTCGTAGATGTGCAATGGTTTTGTAGGTTTTTTTAAGACTTACGATGTTTTGTTTGTCCCTTCTGGTATGTTCTGATTCTTTTTTTGTTTATAGAAGTTATGCACTTAAATGACAATTTTTGACAAATTTAAGCGTCGTTTGCCTATTATCTCAAAAACTACAAGTGGGTAACTGTAAACAACCAAAAATATCAGCATTATATATTCTTCAAAATGCCAAATGACTGAATCACTTATTTGACTTGACTATAGGAGTTATTGTCCTTTAAAATTTCAATATTTGACCAATTTTAGCTTTTATCATTAAAACAATAATAGACAGACAGAGATTTTAAATAACAAAAATAACCATCAAGGTTAAAATATTCAAATGAACCACATGACTATAAATGTCAGTTGACTGTTTAATGGAGATTTTGTAGCCTTAAAAGGACATTAGCTGTCCAATATTACATCACGGCGTTGTAAGCTTATTTTGACGAAATTGAACCAAACTGGCTGATAATAGCGAGATATTATTTCTTTATTCTGCTCTTATAAATGTTTGAAAAAAAAATAATCAGATTATAATTTTTTTGTCTAATTTGTATCTAATGTCCCTTTAAACGGAAAGAAAATACGACGAATAAAAAAATTATGTTATCTTATATACCTGTAACACACACGGGGCCCGATACATAAATAACATGAATAAAGAAATTTAACTACGTTAACAACATAACGAATAAAATCATGTCAGCGCATGCCTTTTTTTGGAAATGGATGTACCGGCGATTCATTCAATTGATCAAACAAATTATTTGATATCCTTTCGGTTTTCTACACTCCGTAGTACTCACCATCTCCTCAAAGAATGCAGTAATTAAATTCCAACAATACTTGTCGGCCAACACAGCAATGTAAAGCATAATTATACTAATCGGTTCATTAACAAACTGGGTCATTAATATCGGGTAGTTTAAATTGAAAATCACTGACTGAATGAATGGAGATTTAAAGGTTTATTAGTTGTCAAATTCTTGTTCACCGATTTGACTCAAATTCTCATATTTGATTTATACTATACGAAAACGTATATCCAATTTACCAAAAGTCCAAAAGAAACAATTAACAATGCTACTGCTGTATCCCCATTTTTGACATTTTTACCTATTATGTCTATTTGTTTTGCTTGCACATTAAGCCGTTTGATAACACTATTTTCTTTGATGAACAGTTTCATAAGGGCAAGTCCGTATGTTACTAGACAGTTTTAAATTTTTAAGAATGGTCCTGTTCATAAGTGAATATAATTTGTAGGTTATTTAGAGATCATCACAGTTTATTATTTTTATAAACAATATTTGGATAAACTAATGTATTCCATGACTGAGGGTAGGAATGTCCTTTACCGTCAGGCGTCAAACGGTCATTTTTGGCTACCGTTAGCGTCAAATTGGTTAAAATTTTACCGTGATTCGTCAAAATATCCTTATTGTGATTCGTCAGAGGTCTAAAATAATTATCGTTAACGTTATTTTTGGAATAAAATTAACGTAATTCGTCAAAATCAGTCCATATCTGATCGTCTAAAAGAAAGTGTACATTTTATCGTCATGCACAAAAAATTACCGTTAATGTCATTTGGCAAGAATGTTTACCGTTTTTCGTCATGAAGGTACCCCCATTACGACCTTCACGACTAGGGAACGAATATAAAAATAAGAAGATGTGGTAAGATTGCTAATGAGACAACTCTCCTCTCGTCAACAGACCAAATGTCATAGAAGGAAATAACTATAGACACCTTCAACAAAACCTCCCCTAACCTAGGACAGTGATGTAACAGTACGACCAAAGAACACACTATAAAAATCAGTTGAAAAGGGCTTAACTCATCAGACCAATACATATAAACTCTAACAAAACCACAAAAGACACAAAGTACAGATCTTATAGTAATCGCAGTTACTGAAAGCTAGGTTAAAGCCAATAACAACTAATAAAAAAGCATGTATCTAAGACTAAACTATTAATCAGTACACATCCAACATCCACTGGACTTAGTGTAATGACGTCATTATCAGTCAGAGAAAAACATGATCTTGTACAATGTCAAAATATTGGTATTGACATATTGTAGACAATGAATGTACATATGTGTATAACCATAACATTTAGTTTTGTTTTAATGACTAGTATGGTTGATCACCTTAGTTACTTATGCATATCTACTATTCAAATGGTAATGTTTTATTTTGAATTGGTTTTAAGATTTTAAGATACACTCTATTGTCTTCTTTCTCACACGTGTTTTAATGTAATTAGGATAATGGAAATCTTATACTGTGGATTCATTATAACATGTATTATTCGTGTGTATAGTTGGAAGTCGAAATGAAATATTCTACGTAGAACAAATGTTTGATAATAAAATTGAGAATGGAAATAGGGAATATGTCAAAGAGACAACAACCCGACCAAAGAGCAGACAACAGCCGAAGGTCACCAATGGGTCTTCAATGCAGCGAGAAAATCCCGCACCCGGAGGTGGTCCTCAGCTGGCCCCTAAATAATATTGTGTGCTAGTTCAGTAAAAATGGACGTCACATTAAACTCTAAAACATATAAATGAACTAAAATTAAAAAAAAACATACAAGACTAACAAAGGCCAGAGACTCCAGACTTGGGACAGGCGCAAAAATGCGGCGGGGTTAAACAAACATGTTTTGTGTAATCTCAACCCTCCCCCTATACCTCTAGTCAATGTAGAAAAAAGAAACACATAGCAATACGCACAGTAAAACTCAGTTTAAAAGAAGTCCGAGTCCGATGTCAGAAAAGGTAACAAAAGAAACTAAGCAAAATGACAATGATACATAAATGAACAAAGGACTACTAGCAGTTACTGACATGCCAGCTCCAAACCTCAATTAAACTGATTGAAAGATTAGGTCTTCATCATATGAAAATCAAGGACAATCCCTCCCGTTAGGGGTTTAGTATCATACCATCATAAATACCATCATAAAATATATGAGAAGAACATAACCCGTATCATGCCAACAACTGGTTTTAGAATAAATGTGTTTATTTCAGGTGCAAAGACCCTATAAGTGAATCAATATCATTACCAAAATATGCAATCCTTAATGATTTGACAACAGTATCGTAACTATATCCTTTCCGAATAAGTCTGTTTAAAGGTTTCGGTTAGCTTTTGAGGTGAATGCCGACATTTTTGTGCTTTGTAAAGAATATTACCATAACAGATAAGCTTGTATGCAGACGATGGCAAACCACGAAAATATAAATCCTCGAATATACATTTTTCCTTACTCCACAAAAATTGGTTCCTACAAAAATAATTTAATCCACAATGATCTATGAAAAATATTTTTTGCATCTAAAATGTTTTTGAATTTATAGTTGAAGTGCTAATAGTGCTTATAGTTAAAATTAATGCAATTCAATGCAATGCTGTCCCGTCATTGAGACAGTAAAATAAAGAAAGCATAATAGTTCATCTTTTCTAGGGTCATGAATCTTTGACATATATGAAATATTCTTGAAAATATACGAAACTTGTGTTTGTTAATTTTCATGCTATAGTATTATCATTACAAAAAAAGCAGACAAAATGAAAACTACAAAAACAAAAAAATGCAATTATTTCTGAATTTAATTATTTGTAAGATTTTTTATCCAATTTTATTTATACTGTATAAAAAATTGTATTTTATTCTGAACTTTCTTGTGCTTTATATTGTTTAACTTGTGCTCACATCTTTATTTTTATTTGCTTTATTACATGTTAATCAACTTGTCACATTGTTAAAAAATAAGTTGACCACAAAATAAGACTAACGACAAGGTCAAAATTTCAAGGTAGGGTCGAACTGTCTCCTCTTATAAGCAATAGGTCAACAGAATTTAATGTGTGAAATGATTGTAAGGAATACATGTCTGTCTTGCAGGATTCATCTGACCTTAAAATTGTTTTGGTCTTTTTCTCTGATACTAGATGCAATAGGTCAACAATTTTTTTTTATTGTATTGAATGACATAAGATATCTTTAACCGTTTGGCCGGTTTCATCTGACCTTGATTAATGTGTGAAATGATTGTAAGGAGTACATGTCTGTCTGGCAGGACAATAGGTAAACCCTATTTATTGTAATGATTTAAGGTATCTATATTCGTTTGGTCGGTTTCATCTGACCTTGACCTAATTGACGAGGCTCATTAGTCATTGTTAAGTTTGAATGATTTCATCTTTTTATCATATACTTTAAGCAATATGTCAACTATGTTTGGTGTGAAGAATGATTGCAAGGTGTATCTTTACGTCAGGCAGGATGTATATGAACTTGACCTTATTAAATTAGATCATTGAAATTGTTATTTATGTGATAGTTGTTTTAAAACGTTCATCATATAGACTTGCAATATAAATATTTTTATGAGCAGTACAGATACATTTTAGTGTGTGCACTCTTGTTATCATCATCTTTAGAATAACTATGACAATTGCAATCATTTTGACGGGATATGGCAGAAAAGACATTTCAAATCCTTTTTTTTTTGATTGACTGAAACATGATTGTATTGAAAGGATGGTTGCTAAACGTCCAGCAAGCAGTATTTCAGCTTTAATCTGTACTTGAAGACTATGCTGAAACTGAAAGAACGAGCTTTTATTCTTTTATATTAGCCTCTATAGAACACTTTGTAGACTAGGTGATGAAAAAAGGGATTCTGGTTTTTCTTCAAAATACAAGTCAAATTATTGACCTCATAATCACATGATATATTATATTGTATATTTAACTTCTTGAAGAACATACATTAGGCTTCATTTTCCTCTGTATGTATTTTTTTATTTATTGATGTATTTTGATCATTGATAATTTGCTTGTAAATGTTGTGGGTTTCATTTATTGATTTTCTTGATTTCATTTCATAAATTACATGTTTTTTTACTATTTTTTAGATTTTTTGTTGCAGACATGGGAAGAGGTTGATTTTTTTTTATAGTACTTATGTGTATTTTTTTTAAATGAGCTTCTATTGAACACTCTGAAGTTTATGTGAAAAAAAGGGGCTTCTGGCTTTTCCTCAAACTAGTACCCTATTCTTTTATAAAATTGAAAACTTGATTTGTTTGTATAACAATAATCAGCCTTTTCATTTCTATAAGGAGGTAAAATAGCAAAAATACCGAACTCCGACGAAAATTCAAAACGGAACGTTCTTTATCAAATGGCAAAATCAAAAGCTCAAACACATCAAACGAATGGAAAACAACTGTCATATTCTTGACTTGGTACAGGCATTTTCTTACATAGAAAAAGGTGGATTAAACCTGGTTTTATAGCTAGCTAGACCTCTCACTTGTATGACAGTCGCATAGAATTCCATTATATTGACAACAATGTGTGAGCAAAACAAACAGACATTATAGGTAAAATTGTCAAAAAGTTGGGTACAGCAGTCAACATTGTGTTATAATCTTAATCACTATAAAAACAAATAACTATTTCAAAAAAGAAAAACACAATGGCATATAGACACTCTATAGACAAAGTTCATAAGCAAAAATGAAAGACAAGAATACAAAAAATAACTATAGCACAATAACACAATGGCGGTGTTCATGACATGTTCCCTTAGAGGGTTTATTTAGCAATATGATTGTACAACAATCAAAATTTACAATGCACTTAAACACTGCAATAAAATACATTTTTTCAAAGATTGGATTATTGAAACAAATCTTTGAAATTAAGAAGATATCCTAAAATGTGCAAAACTTGTATTCTATACTTTGTCACCTTGATATCTGAGTTGCAAAGAAAGCTTTGTTTATTGTTTCATCAAGCGACAATGTGTAGTTTCGTTTGGAATAGAACAGAAATTTCAGAGAATAAAAATCAAGGAATT